CAAATGAGCATTATGGTTTTATTGCCAAATTATGCAAGATACAGTTTATTTTTTAGTAGATGTGAATTAATGTTTTCAAACTATAAATTGGAACTTGATTATTGTGTTCATCTGTCAGAAGTTTTCAATTCATTTCCTTGAAGTTTTATGAATTTAAAAACTTGTTCTATCATTCAGCATTACAAATCAATACTGAAATGTCTTTTGTCAGTAATCAGATGTCTGTAGCAAAATTAACCTTCTGTGATACACATACACCTTTTCTTCCTAAGATAAAAGGTATTTCCACATGTGTGTGATCTAATGACATTATCCCTTAAAATAGAACTACTTTAAAAAACAAGATACCATAATATTATTAAAGTTCATTTTAGGGCTGGGGATTTAGCTCAGCGGCAAAAGGGCCTGCCTGGCAAGCGCAAGATCATGAGTTCGGTTCCCGGTACCGGAGAAAAACCAAAAAAAAAATAATAATAATAAAGTTTATTTTAAAAAAAAATCACTTGTGAGTAGCTTTAAATAATTTGAATTGACCAACTATGTTAATAGGATGTTTTAAAAGGTATTAAATAAAAGGCAAAAGACAAGCAAAAAAAGGATTTTCCATGTGAATCAAATCATGTTCTAAATTAGAAGCTAGTTTAAGGTGTGTACCATTTAGGAAAAAAATGACACTCTTAACATTTAAGTAGATTTCCCCTATAACACTTTCTGTACAACTAATTAACTAATAAAGACAAACTATGTACTATATTCATTAAAATAAAGATTATGAAGGAATTACATTGATGAAAACAAGTATAGTTTTAAAATTTAATAAGCTCAGAAATTGAAACATTACTAATGGGGTATTACCAGTTTCCTGAACTTTGCTATTATTAGAAACATTCATTATCTGACACTACTAAAAAGTGAAAAATGAGAATTCTGCTAATAAAAACCCTATTTAGGCTGTGTGTGCTGGCACACGCCTATAAGCCCAGCACTCAGGATGCTGAGGCAAGAGGGTATGAGTTTGAGGCCAGCCAAGGCTTAATGGTGAATTCAAGGTCAGCCTGAACTGCATAGTGAGATCCTGTCTCAAAAAAATAGAAAAAAAAAAAAAAAAGCCTGTTTATTTTTTAATGGAGACAGTATATATAAAATACTTAATACTATAACAAGCACACTACAAGCACTGAAAAAATTAGTCAAAATGAAACAAAATCTTTCCCAAGAATAAATAATCCAACTAACACAAATATCCATGTGTTGTTACTAGAAATATGATTTATTTCTAATACATTAAAATTTTTCTATATAATGAAATTCTCAAAGAAAAAACATATTTAATACAAATTGTAAATGATTGGCAAATAGTGCATAAACCATATTAAAATATATAAAATAAAATCCTAAAGCAGAATTTACAGGCTCATAAAGGTAGCAAAGTAAATTTTCAAGGGCATGAGTTTTGAATTGTCATTTAAAACCTGCCTATAATAAAGCCCACATAGTTCTTACAAATTATTAGCAATTCTATTCAAAATGTTAAAACAAAATCAGAGTGGTGAAGGTAAGGGGAAAAAAAAAATCAGAGTTGCTGTCAAACACAAAACTGTTATTAACAGACTTAGGCCCTATTATATTTTTGGAATACAAATTTGTAGCTATCCTTTAGAAAAGTAAACATGTGCTTTTTTTCCCCTTCTATTTTCTTAAATATTTATCTTCAAAATGCAGAAAACCACCTAGTAAACATCTGAGTTAATCTTCTAGTTAAATGGACTTCAAAGGGAAGTAAATAATCCTGAAGGTTTCTATTTAAAACCTGCCGATATTGATAGTTCCTACATATGAAAAGTTACAGTGAAGACAGTAATCAATGAAACAACTAAGCCCAGCAGTTAACAGAGAAAAGAAACTTCTATTAAACAGAAAAGATGCTCAGAGCCTGGAAACAGGATAAAGAGCAAAAAAACAGTTTGCCTCTATTCAGCTATAAGAGGGCCTCCACCTCCCTACTTGTGATTTCTCCTTCTTCCACACCAAATACTTATTTTTCCACCATGCTGTCTCTCCACAAGGTCAGTCTATTCTCTTAGGGGCAGTGTAAGCATATCTGAGAATCAGTACATCACATTTTATTTAAAAGGCTGATGAACACTAAAAGGTCGCGATGCACAAATCACTTACCTATCAGGCACTCGTGGAGCAAAACAGGACGTAGTAGAATGAATACACAGAATGGAGTCAGGCCCCAGTTCCTGGACCTTAGCTTCCACTGCTTTCAGGTCTGTGCGCAGCTCGTCACCCTCTAAAACATTTTCTATCACCACGGGCTCAAAACCTGACCAAGTCAACCAGAAATGTAAATGTCAGTGTAAACTAAAACAAGGGAAAATCAGGGACTTCTAGGAAGCATTGTTATTCCACACAAGAACTCTGAGTTTAATTTGTTTGGATGAGCCTTCCTCTAGTAATGAAGACCCAGCTCAGTGTATTCGTATTAGTCAAGGCAGTCAAGACAATGTGAAGACCAACCTGAAGATTCTGATCACAGGGTTTTTTTTTTTAATTTTAAAGAGAAAATATAAAAACCAAACCAAAAGTAAACAACACAAAATTTCAAAACAAAATAGGAGATTAACAATGGTTAATATATTGCATATTGTTATCTTCAAAGTAGTTGCTCAGATTACAGGATATAGGCATGCAAAATTGATCAAACAATATGACCACAAACCACTTTTTCAATGAAGTAAAAGAAGTCAGTAGTATAACTATCTTATCATATATATATATATATATTTTATTTTATTTTCCCTTCCTTCTTTTCTCCTTTCACCCATCCCAGCTTTCTTTTTGAGCTGTTTCTTTTCCTTTCACAATATCTATTGTAGATTTTGGGTCTTATTTACTGTTTCAGTTTCTTACACTAGGGAGACAATGTGATGTTTACATGTGAGTTTGATTTATTTCAGTTATGAGTAAGGTCTCTAGTTGCATCTATTTACCTATAAAAGCCTGGAGTTTGTCCTTCTTTATAACTGAGTAGTACTCCATTGTATCAAAATACCACAACATTTTAATCCATTCCTCGACTGATGGGCATTTGAGTTGTTTCCAAGATGTAGCTATTACAAATTGTGCTGCTATAAACATGGGTGCATATATATTGGTGTGGTATGATGTTTTTAATTCTTCTGGGAAAATACCTAGAAGCGGGTAACTGGGTCAAATGGGACTTTGAATCTTAAATTTTTGAGGCATCTCCACACCAATTTCCACAGTGGTTGCACCAGTTTACACTCCCATCAATAGTGGAGAAGAGTTCCTTCTTCCCCACGGCCCCACCAGAATTTGTTATTGGTTCATTTCTTGATGAAAGCCATTCTTTTGGGGGTGAGATGGAATCTCAATGTTGTTTTAATTTGCATTTCTCGAATGACCAATGATGTTGAACATTTTTTCATATATTTATTTGCCATTTGTATTTCTTTACCTGAGAAGTGTGTATTCATCTCAGATGCCCATTTTTGCACTGGGTCTTTGAATTTGGGGGGCCTGACTTTTTTAATTCTTTATATGTTCTACTTTTTATTTTTTGATGCCAGGAATCTAACTCAGCACCTTGCACTTGCCAGGCAGACACTTGTGCTGCTGAGCTATAGCCCTAGCCTTTATAGGTTCCAGATAGAAGTTCTTTGTCTGAAGGATAATTGGCTAAAATTTTTTCCCCACTCTGTGGGTTTTCTTTTTACTCTGTTGGTAATTTCTTCTGATGGATCACAGCTCTTTTTAATGCTGTGATATGACCAAAAAAAATTCTAGAGAGTAAGGAAAACAAAAATTAAACAGATATTTATGGAAATAATATAGACATTAATAACAAAAAGGATGATCAGTCCAGCTCAATTAAGTTTGCTCATTCTTTTTTTTTTTTTTGGTTTTTCTCCGGTACCGGGAACCAAACTCACGACCTTGCACTTGCCAGGCAGGCGCTTTTTTGCCACTGAGCTAAATCCCCAGCCCCAAGTTTGCTCATTCTCTGACAATATTTCATTTTTATCCTAGAGCTTGCTTTATTTCAGAGATGAACATAAACAATATAATTCAAAACTAAAACAAATCACAATCATGAACTTAATGTTTACCTCTAAAGAAAACTTTAATTTCAGTAGCCTGAGGAGCACTGGTCTTCAACTGAAGTACTACACTTAACTAGCACAGAGTTAAAGACACCCCCCATATAATAATTATGTAACATTTAACAGTAAATATTTAAGGCTGGGTGTGGTGGCACATGCCTGTAATCCCAGCACTCAGGACGCTGAGGCAAGAGGATCACAGCAAGTCTGGGACCAGCCTGGGCTACAAAGTGAGCTCAAGGCCAGCCTCAACTGCATAGTGAGACCCTGTCTCAAAAAGACCAAAAACAAAACAAAACAAAAAAAGTTGGATAAAGCAATATATACACCAAATTTAATACCATGTATGATTTTACCATAATTTTTTTTAAAAAATATGAAACAGATTTAGCTATCTCTATAAAAAATTTAAATTATCTCATATTAGTATATTTAAAACATTACAAGTGCTACTTATCTTCTTTTACCTGCAGTGATCATGGATTTAAAGCAGGACTTCTGGTCTATTCGTGGCCAGATGATATACTTGGCTTTTGGTCTTTGGTGTCTTAATGTTAAAAAACACAGGGTTAGACTCATACCAGTTGCCACGGGAACCACAAAGCAACTGGCTACTGTAGGAACACCTATGAGTAAGAAAATATAAGTTCGTAATCCCATTAAAAAAAAGCAGCATTCTTGAAGAAATAATAAAAGGTTCTATCAAACAATAAGAGGTATAGCCCACACATTTCTTTTTCTGTACTCATTTTTAAGAACCTCTGTCAGATTCATCCTCCGGACTTATGGCTTAAATGTATTCATTTTGCTACATCCTGTTTTGCTCTAATTATTCTGAAATACTTCTATATGTATATCCTTTTAAAAAGCCACTCATCTTTTTAGAAAGAAGCATAATAAAAGAAATTAGAGCCAGGCATGGTGGTGCACACCTATAATCCCAGCACTTGGGAGGCTGAGGCAGGAGGGCTGCCATGAGTTCAAGCCCAGCCTGGATTACATAGTAAGCTCCTATCTCAAAAAATAATAAACAAAAAGAAGAGAAGAGAAGAGAAGAAGAGAGGAGAGGAGAGGAGAAAAGAGGAGAGGAAAGAGAAGAAAAGGGAAATTAGGCAAAGATATGTTTATCGTCAACCAAATATTACATATTATGATTAAAACAGAACATACCAGCCAACTTTATGATGTCCAAGAGCAAAGAATTGGTAATTTTGTTCAAAAGGCTAGAGCCTGCAGCTTTCGGCTGCACAGCAGAAATATCACCAGACCGTCCAATTCCATGAATGAGCCTAAGCAAAACAAGGGCCCAAAACTAGCAAATATATTCAGTGTTGTAAGTGATCAAACATACAGCTATACAAATACAATTACCAAAATAACACCAGAGATGCTATTTGGCTGTTTTATATATACTTCATAAACTATTAATAATGTGAAAATATCCCATTTAAAATGAAATGGCATCATCAATTATGCTGTGGTCCAAAGACAGCAGCCTTTAATTCCTTTTGTCTCTGCACCCATACCCAGAGTTGCAGTGTGAGTCCCCTCCACTTGAATCTGGGCTGGCCTTAGTGACTTGCTGGGCCAAGAAGAATGTAACAAAGTGATTGGCTTAGTTAAGTCATAAAAAGACCCAAGGTTTCCAGAATTCCTCTTAAAAAGCTTGCTCCTGAGGTGCTTATCTCAGAATCCAGCTGCCTTGCTAGAAAGAGCCCATGCCAATGAGTAAGGCCATCTAAGCTCCTGGGCATGCTAGCTGGTCACTCTGAACCCTGCCCACTTGAACCTTCATAACTAAACTCCATCAAAATCGCACCAGAAACCCAAACAATACACCCTGCCGAGCCCAGTTAACACACAGAACTATGTGACAGAAATACAGAATGCTTAAAGTTTTAAAAGTTATTAGAGTAAAAAGATACATTGCCATTAACTGCCCTCAAAATACTCCCTTTTGCTTCGGACACTCTTGTTCCATCACTTTTGCCCCTTTCTGAAGCTGTTCTGGGAATCCTTTTTTGTGAATGTCTTTACATAGTATGATTAAAAAAAAAAAAAAGAACACCGTAAAAATTGCTGCTGAGTATATCCCAACAGAAAGGCAGGCTCATAAAAATATTACGGTGTATCACCTTATTCACTCAATGCGGCACCACGTGATTTCTTGCTCAGAGTCAAAATGACCATGAAAGAAGCAAATGTTTTCTATCAGTTCAGGACATTGAGATAGCCATGACAGCACAACTAAAGACACTGACAAGGGGCTGGGGATTTAGCTCAGCGGCACAGCGCCTGCCTGGTAAGTGCAAGGTAGTGAGTTTGATTCCCGGTACTGGAAAAAATAAATAAATAAATAAATAAATAAACTGATGAAAGAGGATTTCCAGGACTGTTCATGGAAGAACAATGCACTAAGTGGTTTGAAACAAAGGGGAGGATTTTGAGGGGAATTAATGGCAATGTCTTTTACTGTAATATATTTTCTAAAACCTTAAACATTCACCATATTCTTCAATAATATTTCATAAAACATTTTTTAAGCCACTAAGTTTTGGGAAGGTTTGCTATGCAACAGTTGAAAATTAGAATATAGACAACATTAACTTTTTTTCTTTCCTTTTCCCCTGACCAGAGCAGTATGCTAAATTCCCATGGGGAATGAGTTGGGTTTTTTTTGTTTGTTTGTTTTTTGTTTTGTTTTTAAATGCACTAATATTTAAATAACTATATATTTCATGAAAATTAATGAGCAAATCCACTCACTTTAATAGAGTTATACATTACTTAAATATACCTTTAAAAATGCTTCAAAACAAAAACTCCTTCATACTCTGAAATAATCTATAATTTATAGTCAAATAAACCTGAAATTCTGTACAATGGGATTATCACAGAACACTAGGTTGCACTTCCTTACCACTAAACCCTCATGAATAAACCACTTTTTACACATATTATCAACTATGTTACCAGCCCATTGTTAAACATGGAATCTTCAACCAATTTATACCTTCATTATTATTAGTTTTGACCGCACTGGTTTCAATTATGCCTAGGAAAATTTCAGAAATTTAAGAGTAGTAAAGGAATTTATATTTCACAGGAAGACAAGGAAATAAATGATCATATCTAGACCATTATTAATTAGTAAGTAAATGGTAATCAGCATTGATAAGCTTTCTGAAATAATGCAAAAGAAAAAAGTGATTTAACAATCTAATACAAGCTGGGCGTGGTGGCGCATGCCTGTAATCCCAGCATTTGGAAGGTTGAGGCAGGAGGACTGCCATGAATTGGAGGTCAGCCTGGGCTACATAATGAGTTTAAGACCACCCTGGCCTACCCAGGGAGATACTGTCTCAAAACATTAAAAATAAATAAAAATTTTTTAAAAACAATCTAATATACCTTGTCCTATATCCACTGTAATTAAATTGTTATCAAAACTGATGGAAAGTTTTCTGTAACAATGCAAAAGAAAAACTGACTCAATAATCTGTTCCCTATATCTGGCGAAAGACAAAGGTACGTATAAAATGAGACTCTGCTTAGATACAGATGAACAATGTTTTATGAAAATTTTAACTATAAATCATTCCGTAAGAAAACCTTCAATGGGGGCTGGGATGTAAGCAGAGTACTTGCTAGTGTGCATGAGGCCCTGGGTTCAATCTCCAGTATAGAAAAGAAAACGGGAGGCGGGGTGTAATATTAGAGATAAATATATCAAAACTATAAGCAACCATAACATATTGTAAACTTGTTCAACCAAACAAGTTTACCAGGTTAAACGTTCTTATCAGAACATATAGCCGGTGCTGTTATCCTCCCAGAAGCTCAGAGTAACCAGCACGTATTAGAACTTGAATTCTACTGTATCTGAAAAGCACCTGTATTTGGTTTACAAGCCCATGTACATGGAGAACTTTTTCATTTAACAAGATGAATACTATCGCCATTACTTTACCCCCAAAAGGAATAAATGTTTTCACGTTTAATTGAAAAAAAAAAAAAAATACCTGTAATGACGACGAGCAACTAACGCAGAAGCCACTCTCCCTTCCCTTTCTCCCACACCACAATTGCCCAAGAAATTGTTGCTATCCATGACTGCAAGTTCATGTAAAAACAGCTCAAGTGTACTCTCATCCCAACCATCCTCTGGACACTTGCCCTTTAAAGAAAAACAAAAAAAGTTTATAATTATATCCAAGAAAGTCCTACTTAAATACATTTAAAAACTTTTTAAATGTGTATCTTGATGCTCCTTGTTTTCTGAAAGCCGCACATACATTCCACACCATGAAGAAACCTCGACTTCGCAAGACATTCTCATTACATTTAATTGTAACTATCTGCAAACTGCGAGGCGTGGAGATGAAAGCATTCGCTAAAATCTACTCCGATTTTTAAATTTAAGTGAGAGAAACACCACAGCCCAGGTGAAGATTCAAGGTGTTCCAACCAGAGGTTGTCAAACGGTAGTGAAATTAGCAGGAGTGCTGGCAGGCGCGGGACCTGCGAAATTCGGAGCCAGCGTCAAGTTTCGAGTTGGTAAATCGTGGTGTACGAACGTCGCGTGTTCCCTTTAGACTGGGGTGCGGTGACAGAAAGGAACTTTGCCCTTTCGGCAAAAAACAACCAGACGTGGACTTTGCCTCATTTCTGCAATCCAAGAATGGAGCAAGGGGACTCCAAGCCCCAACCCCTAAAGACACCCTCTGGGTTTCCCCAGCTCCTGCGAGACTGAGAAGCGCGAGCCAAGCCGCGACAGTGCGGGGCAGCAGGCTCCAGCAGCACCCAGAAGCGCCAGAGGGCGACCCGGCGCGAAGCCAGCGCTGGGCGGAGCCTCGGGGCGCGGCGGTTGGGGAGGGGACAGACACCTCGGTACCTTCTCCAGAAGCTGCAGTACAAGGTGCTCGTGCGAGCGGCGGGCCTCACAGCTCTGCCGCACGTAAGCCGGCGACACCAGCCGCTCGCCCGCCGCGAAGGTGTCGCAGTTCATGGTGGCTCTACCGCACTCACACACGACGGAACCAGAATGCAGCTCGCCGCCTGGACGGTACGGCAGGGTCTAAGGACAAAACAAAGTCCAAACGAACCCGTCCCACTCCCGCACATGCGCAGACTACATTAGCTCGGGATCCCGGAAGCCTCAGTATTTGAAGGTGTCCCAGCGAGCCTGCGCGTTTGGCCGGCTTCAGGCTGAGGAAGAGGCGGTCCTGAAGTTAGCCCCGCCCCGCTACGACGGATTGGTGTCCTTAAATCATACGTTTTCTCAAACCAGGCTAAGACTTCAAGGACTATGCCCTTGGGTGGGAGCGTTGAGGAGACCAAAGTGCACTGGTTTTACAAGCAAGAAAATATCTTGAATTGCTGTGTTCTAGTGATATACGTTGGCTGAAATCTATGTAGAATCTGTCCTTCAGCCTTACTCAGTGTGTCAGATTCCAGAACCTTCCATCTGTACTTCCATACGTTTCAACATTTAGTACCCTGCATTTCTGTTCTTTTCACTGAAGAATTTTTAGCTGTAACACTCGTCACCAACCGACAACACACACACACACACACACACACACACCTGCACCCAATGAAGGCAAACTCTTCTAAAGGCAGAGCTTTGCCTTGTGTTGCAAAACCCCCAAACACCTAACACTATATCCAGAATACAGCAGAAGCCAAAGGGGGAAAAAAAAAGAAAATCGAATTAATGAATTACTTTGACCACTGCACAGCCTGGGGGTAATTGTTGGAGCTAAAGAAATAAGAAGCAAGGATCTCAGCTTCAATTTTCTTGTAGCCTTCACCTTTGGTGACCTTACACCAGTCCCTGGCATTGCCCTCTCCTAGTGCTGTGCTGGAGCCATTTGCACTGTTTCACATGTGATTCCAAGAGCTGATGAAATGTTCGGTAAACTTGTGAGCTAGTTTTTAAATACAGCCACTCCTAAAAGTTAAATTGCATAAGCTTACACAATGTTAAAAGCAAAAGTAATAGATACTCAAAATCCACCACTTCCTTTTTAGCACATTGTAGTGTAATCTGTCTTTTGTTTTCATCTGTTGTGTCTGTCTTGTTGAAATACTTCTGCATAGCTCTTCCCAACTCAGCTCCCTTTTAGTGACCTCATGTTGGTAGCTTGAAATTAACCCTGCTGAGTGTTTTCATCACAGAAATCAGCAAATACTGCAAAGCAGAAGTGCACAACAAAGAGGTTATTTATTAAAGTTCCAGAGCACTTTTCGTTCAAAATCAAGTTGTGTCTGCTCTACAGAAGTATAGTGGTTGATTGATTGTGTCAATTTCAGAAGTTTAGAAGCTTAACTAAATTGGCTCAGCAATTCTACACCCTAGGGTATAGAGGAGCCACCCTAGGGTGGATCATCACCTAGATGGTATAAAAGGGATGAAGAAGCACAGAGGGGCTTGCATTCTTCAGAGGAGCTCCAGTCTTCACCTTCATCTTGGGTGTCATCTCCTGGTTTCTAGTGCAGACTGTGTGGCTTCTGCCTTGAATCCTTCAGCCTTCCAGTGGAGACTCATCAGCTGTCCATCGCAGACCCATCGGCCTCCTGATGTGAACTTGCACAGACACTGCAGTGCACTCCAGACCTTGGACTGAATCCTTTGGTCTCCAGTGTGCAGACACCCTCTGCACGCTTCCTCATCAAACGCTGTGGCTGACCGTCGTAAACCAATCTTGTAATTTCTTATACATTCGTATATCTTGCGTTATATCTGTTTCTCTAGTAAAACCCAGACTGATATAATATGCCTTTACCTTCTCGATTATTTCCCTACTTTACTCATGGAACAAGAAGTTTGGCCAAAAAAAAAATTTTTTTTTTCATTTACTTGCTTTCAGTCTTGGAAAAGGAATATAAAGAGTACAGAGTTTGTGTGTGTGTGTGTGTGTGTGTGTGTGTTGTCTTGCTTTGTTTTGGGTGGGATTGTTCTGTTTTTTTGTTTACATTGTTGGGGGTAAAAGTCAGTGACACCCTTATTCCTGACATAAAGTTTAATAAATTACAGCTTTTCCAAAGCATAGTCAGTTATTTCAGACAAGGCATATTTAAAGACAGAAAAGTGAAACCTTTCCTGATAGATTACAGACCATCACACTAATCCTAGACCTTCCACAGAACCGCAGTTGACAGGATTTCTATGTTTAACTGGATATTCCAGACAAATTTTCTGTGATTGCAACATTTTTGTGAGTTGACAAAGTCCACAGGAAGAGATTTATTCTTCTGGGATCTAGACATGAAACAAGCCTTCTGCATCCCAAACAGTTTCTTCAACAGCTTCCCTCATCAGGCATCACCAACTATAAAATCGCTGTTGTCTATTTGTGCAGAAGTGATCTGGATAAGCCCTCAAGGTTTTAACTTAACTTAATGGGAGCTACAAAAAACCTACAGCTGGCTGATCCAAATGCAGTGGTGTTTGTAACCAACTGACTACAACTATTACAAAATACAGTAATAGATTTTTTTTCTGGAAGCTAAAGGAAATGACAGTTCATTGTGTCAAACAAGCAGCCTTAACGAGTAATAAATTTTCACCATACAAAGATACCAAGGTTAGATCTGTGAAAGATAGGAACATAAAAAAGGATTATGATGTGTTGTATACATGTAGCAACTCCCCATGTTGGATGTAATTATTATATACTGCAAATATGTTGTAACAAAATAACACAGTGAAACAAAAATAAAAAGAGAAACCTGTACCAAATAGCAGTTTTTAGCCCCTGACTTCAAAAAGAAAGAATAGGGAAATGTGGTTGTATTTTTTTACTTAAATGATCTCTGAAAGTCCCAAAACATTTCTTTGGTGCATCAGATGACTTCAAAGTAAAACAGAAATTCTCAATGAAACTACTCACCATGGTATACACAAACTAAATCAACATTAGTTGGGAGATTTAAAAAAAATTTGGGTTTGCTTTGGAGTCATATGTTGCCTGTCAACAGCATAATTCCAGAAAATCTACAAAAGTGGGATGTGGCCCAGAACCAAAACTCCAATAGCTTTTTCACCACTTTGAAGGTGGCCTTTTTTTTTTTTTTTTTTTTTTTGAGAATAGGTCTTGTTATGTATTCCAGCCTTCACTTGAACTCACTTTGTAGCACAGACTGACTTCAAACTCTCAGCCATCCTCCCATCTCTCAAGTGCTGGGATTATAGGCATGTACCACCATGCCTGGCTGAAACTGACTTTTTAAAAAATGTTTTAGTTATTGTACATCTATTTTCTGGGTGGTCTGCAGCATTTCCCTCCCAAAATTTATAGTCCTTACAGTCTCATTTTATGTTTTCAATCTGAAGCAAAACAACTTTTATGCCAAGTAATCAAGATACACATTTCATGCAGGTACTGTAAGATACTACCACATAGTCAATTATAAAAGTATAAAAATAACTTGTAATTTTTACCAAAATGTCACTATGTTTACCACCTACAATCTTCTGGAGAGGTTAAAAGAATCAATGGTACCCTTCAATTTACATTAGCCAAACTTTCAGAAACCCTTAAACTGCTTGGGAAAGGGTATCTCCACTCCTACATGCTTAACATCTATGTGGTCCATTCCCATGGGGATCTATAGCCTCACCCAACATGACTTGTCAACTGGAAAGCACATGAATTCAAACAGTTCTCTTCTGATCATAGATTCAGTCCTACTGCCCATAGACATGTCGAAATATTGCAAAGGATTCGTGTACTATACCCAGTCCTATCACCAAGATCACTATGCCATTTTTCCTATATCTTCCTAAACAGACTTTTCATGATCCTCAACAAGGTTACATCTCTTGGAAGAGCTATCAGAGAAAAGCTATTCTTGAACTGTACTGGAAGGAAATTTATCTGGTATATTAACAACAGATATAAGAGTGTGACTCCAGGGAGTCAATATTTGGGTTCACATTTCATGTGCAGGACCACCTACACGACTCTCCTTGAAAAAGGAGCAGTTGCCTCCATTTTGGCTGAGCCTGACCCTATTTCCATGTATTGGTATGTACAGAGCTGACTAGGACCCTTTCCTTATCCTTTCAATTGGCTTTAAGCAATGTACATCAGTCTAGCTGAGGTACTGATGTTAGTCTTTGGAGGTGACAGGCATGCTTCCCTGGACCCCCGTTGTTCCCTCAAGTGAGCCAGGATGAGGCAGGATGTGTGAACCAATGTTCCACTCTGTTGGCTGGGATCGAGCCTTGCGATAGAGGCTATGACTTCCTGGGGCTTCAAGCCTTACACATCAGAGCAGAAGCACTGACCCCAAAACATTAGATACTATCTCAATTGTGATGTAGATTACTCTTTCTGCATATCCTTCTTTCTGCATATGGCAGGGGTGATTTCAGACCTCCCACCTAGCCCAGCTCATGGCACTCACCTTCTCCCCATGGTTCTCACAGTCACTCATCCTCAAGCCACTCCTTTCTTCGTGAATGAATAAAACCTGGGTTTCGGCCTTAGTTGAGGCCTTTGCTCCAGATGGCCATCACTGTGGCTGGACTTAGGACTCCTTGGCTCCCCCTAACTACAAATATGACTTAGTGTCTTTATTTTCGCCATGAGTTGCACTGGAAGTGGTAGATTGGAATTAACTCACTAGAATTCCAGTAACTTTTCATGGGATTACAAATATAAACTTCCTGGGCCATGACAAGGACTGGGAAGGGCTCTCTATGATTTCACAATGAAAGAATCAATTCAGAATCCTGTACAATTAGAAAACTAACCCAACAAAGTACTTCCAACTAAAGATTCTCAAAGATCTTCCAGAAGTGGCTAATCTTCTGAAGTCTTCAACTGACCCAAAATCTTCAGAAAAAGCTGGTGCCTTCAAACAGTGGACACATTTCTTCCAAGATACTAAGCCACGGTCCCTGTCTTCTTCTTGTTGTTGTTCTTGTTAATCTGCTTGCCTATAATCATTCTTCTCATTTTATATAGACCCCTGGCTTCTGTCCTCCCATATTGGCCTCTTTCTTTTTATACCCATAAAAGTTTTTAGGCCAGAATATACTTACTGTAATGCCATTGTTAGTCACACCAACCATAGGCACTTCCTTCAGTCTTACTGTTGGACATACCATCCAGTACCAGACCCCCATGATAAAAATCTCTGAGCAGTTCCAACCTCATTACTTCAGACCACAGGAAAATCCAACCAATGAT